CTGCCAGGTGAGGCTGCTAAGCTGCCAGGACACCTGGCAAGAGTCTTCTTGCTTGTTTTACTCATTTCTGGGCCTCTAGCTGCACCTTACTTTGTGCCAGGCATTGTAGCAGACACACATGATCCAAAGGGACCTCATATCATCCGTGATCATGAATTGGATTTCAGGTTGGGTGAAGAGTTGTGGTAAGACTGAGGGGAGTCTGACGGTATTCACACCTGTTTGAGTTGACACATACTGGGCTAGCCTGTCTTGTGTCAAACTTGACAATGACCTCTGCAGCTTTTTGCCCACTTGTGACCACCTTCACCCCATGTCATCTTGAAAGTCTATGGCCTATTGGCAGCCTGTAACTTGCAAGAAATGCAAATACTTTTTGATTAAATGCAATTAAGACCAACTGGGTAATAATAGGACATTGGCCAGGGCCTTTAAAGACATTTGGGAAACTGACTTTGTGTTTTAACCAATATTCTTATTTTGTTGTAATGAGCCCAACTTACTGGTGAGATTGAAATTTTATTTTCTGATGCAGCATAAATGCAGTATAGATGCAGTTGAGACCAAATAAAATTACCACTTACATTTTCATCAAATGGGAAACAAGCTGCTGAGGACAGTTGAAATGAAATTTATGATTATGTAAATGAAGCTAGCTTCAGGACACTAATATGTAGATAAATGAGATTTTCATTATTGTGAATCAAGATGCCTTTAACCTTGAAAATTATATACAATTGTCACAAATTTTCCTTAAAAAAATAAAAAAAGCACCATTGTCTCCACTTCTGTGGTTGTGTCTTTATGGGTCGTGGTTAGGTTGTCTGAAGGTTCAGCTCAAGTTCAAGGCGTAAAGCTTTTAGCTGCTGCTGCTGCCTTTGTGAGGACTGCTTAAAGCTCTGAACTGAGCCCAAGCAAATGGCCCTGGTGATTTTCTGGATCCTTTTCTGCATTTATCTTTCTGTAGAGATATGATTTCTCCAACACGTATTTCCTAAGCGCTGTAGTTGAAAGTTGCCTGGTGTACAGAGGTAGAACGAGAGACATCCGCAACAGCGATCTCATTACTAAGCAGATGCAGAAGGCTGTATCTGGTCCAGCCTCTCTTGGTTCTCAGTTCTCTGACCTGTGAAGCGGGGGTGTTAGGACACAATACATTAGACAGGATTCTTGGGCTGTAAACAATAGCTTCTGACTATAGCAAGCCGAAACTTAGGAGGGATTTTTCTGGGAGATAGATGGGAATGGGGCTCACAGGAAAAGGAAAAACAGAAGAAACTTCCCCAGAGCGCAGGAGATGACTCAGTAGAAGTCATCTACTGGCAAATGCAAGGGCCTGAGTTCAATCCTCGGTGAGGAAGAAAGAAAGAAAGAAAGAAAGAAAGAAAGAAAGAAAGAAAGAAAGTAAGAAAGAAAGAAAGAAAGAAAGAAACTTCCCCAAAGGGCAGAAGACACAGTATCCTGAGGAAATAGCCAGTAGACTTCTGTTGAGAGTAAGGGGTAGAATACTTTGATTTAAATTATTTGTTCAAAATGCCCAAGACATAAAGTCCTAGAAAGGTGAGTTCATGTGCTTCATTGGGAAAGGTGGCCACTTCCTAGCTGGGGACCTTTTGACCTATAGTTTCATGCTGTTCCTACATACAGGACAAGAGAAATCAAGGCCATGTAGGGAGAAGCAACAACGGCCCCACAACACCTTATTTCATTGCTGAGTGTCATGTACCTGGCTGGGAAGTGGCAGAACAGGCCTTGGATCCAGAGCTTCTGCTTTGCCCTTTGTACTCTTCTGTCACAGTGCAAGGCCACCTTGGAGCGAGGTGCATAGGACAAGGATCCAGTGACCAGATCAGGGCGCAGGACAGAAGCTTTCATTCAGAGTCCCAACAGAGCTAGAAAGGAGAGCAGAGCCCTGGCTTGGGACCTTGGTGGGACTTCCTTCTGGCCCAGGGTGGGGGCCTGGCTGCTCCTTGTAGCTCAGTGCATCCAGGGCAGAGTATTAGGATGCCTATTCTACTGTCAGCATGGCACCTGGATCTGCAGTGCTCAGTACTGGTTGTACATGAGTGGTGTCTCAACCCCACTACGACCTACAGGACTGGGAGAAGAGGCGGAAGTCCTTATTTAGAAGCCTCTAGGTGATTCTGTAGTGCCAGGGCTCAAAGTTCATCTGACTGCAGTAGGGATGTTGTACACAGTGGCTAAGAGTCTCAGGTAGCTCCACAACTCCTTTCTGCGTGGCAGATTTCCTGGATCTTAACCTGATTAACCTGCATGGGTGATATGTGTATAATTTGAGGCACAGGGAGCCTGCTGGCCTTGGGGTAGATCAGAGGTCTTTCTGCTTCTGTTCCCAAATCTCCAAGAATTGCTTTTTTAACTGTTACTAACACTAGGCTCTGGCTTTGGAGTGAACAGCCAGGGCTAATCATGTGAATGAGGGTAGCCAACTGGAAAAGGAAGGGATGAAAACATAAATTCACATTCTGAAAAGCTGTTGTGATCCCCGGGGTTCCTGATGAAGCCTGAAGGAACTGGAATGGGTTTTTCACCTTTTCACCTTGCTCTCCTACCTGTGGCATCACCTATTAGGCTCTTAGGGCAGAGCAAAGAAGAGGTCAGGAGATTGGGGGACAGAGGAAAGAAAGAGGGAGGGCCAGGGAAACAGAAGGCCTTGAGGGAGGTCCCATGCCTTCCCAGCTAGCCTTTGAGCAGGGAGTCATATCTTCACTAATTGGCCTGAGGGGGATGTCTCACAAGGCATGGTCTGTTACCAGGATCAGTCACATAATTTGGGGGCTCAGTGCAAAATGAAAATAAAGTAACTCATATTACAAATTTATTAAGAATTCTAAGGCAGTAATGGAACATTAAACCAGGTGTGGGATGCCGGACTACTATACTGATCAGTTCCATCCCCAGTGTCTCAGTTATTCTCTCTTTGCTGGGACAAATATCTGACATCAAAAATGAAGGAAGGAAAGGTTTATTTAGCTCACAGTTACTGGAGGTTTCAGTCCATACTCAGCTGGGTCCAAGCAGACTGGCACATGGCAGAGGGCAGCAGTTCATGGTAGCGGCAAAGAGCAGAGAACAAAAGGGCGAGAGCAGCAGCGACAATGGCACTCACACCCATAATCCCAGCAGTACTCTCACCCATAATCCCAGCAGCACTCTCACCCATAATCCCAGCAGCACTCTCACCCATAATCCCAGTGGATCATGAGTTAATCACAAACTGTAAAAGTTTGCCCCATGACTGCATGAGGCTTTGGGGGGACAACTAGGCACAAACCATAATACCCAGAAAGCTGGCCCTGCTGTTCTTTTGAAATTTTACAGATCTCAGTGACTTGGGAGGAACAGGGAGCCTGCTGCAGTGTGGATAAAGTTTGAGTACAGTTATGTGCTAAAATTTCATTCCCATTGTAGGGTATTAAAACTGTGGGAATTTAATACAGTTGTGGTGTTCAGTGGTGAGACCTCTGGGCAGTCAGTAGGTTGAACATGGTCATCAGAGTGGGGCCCCCATACTTAATCTTGGTGACTTCACAAGGAAAGGAAGGGAGAGCAGAAGGGACATGGGAACGTATTCCCTCCCTTGCCATGTGGTGCAGGCATGGCCTTGGGACTCTGCTGTCAACAAGGTCACCACCAGCCACAGCCTTTTGATCTTGGGCCAGAGCCAGGAGCAAAACCAGAACTCATTCCTTTAAAACTTAACTTAGTCTTGATATCTGCTTAGCCATGTTTAGGGCAGTGTAATTCACAATAGCCAAGTGAAGGAAACCAGCGTAAGTGTCCAGTAATGGAAGAATGGCTGAAGAAAATGTGGTATGCATATACAGTTGAATATTATTCAGCCCCAAATGGATAGAACTAGAGATTATTATGTAAAGCAAATTAAACCAGATTAACTTTTTTTTTTCCTTTTGGTGGTACTGGGGATTGAACTCAGGACTTTGTGCTTGCCAGGCAAGCACTTATTCTACTAAGCTATTGTCCCAGCCCCTAGATTAAATATGTTAAAAACCCAATGTTGCCATAAAAACAAGGAAGGCTATTATTAGTAAGATGAAGGGAGTAAGAGGAGAGGAAAAGAGGTATAAAGGAGGTAAAGAATATGAACAAAAACATTCCATATGCATGTATGAAAAATTAAAAAAATTAAAACAATAAAATCTCACCCAGACTTTGGTATTGGTATATCAGCACCAGAAGATGGAGCGACACCTGGAGATAAGCCCCAAAACAGAGCAAAAGCCCTGCAGTTCATTCCCTCTGGCTGGAGCCACAGGTCCAGGGGCTGGAGGAGCGGGGCCCAGCGCAGGCGGCAGGTGACTGCAGACCAGTCTAGGGAGTCAGCTTTGTGGGAGGAATCTTTCTCCCCTTCTCCAGGAGGGGACCCAGCCTACAGTAGGCTGGGCAGAAAGTCAAGGAGAGCTAGACATCCAGCGAGCAGGCTGAGCCTCGGAACAGGCCTCTAATTTCTGTGGGAGATGGTGTGAAAGGGTGGGCAGCAGTGGAGGTGAGGGAAGGAAGGTAAGAGGTGTGTGTCTCATTGGGGCTACCTGGAGCCAGGCAGGGGCTGGAGCTGCCTGACAGGACCCCTTCACCCTCAGCCTCAGCGCTGTCTTTAAGCAATTTCTATCCGCCCTGCTCCAGCACATCCACCTTTGAGGCTTGTCTGTCCTAGTGCTCTCCCTATCTTGTTAAAATGCAGATTCTGACTTAGCTGATGTAGGGGGCCCAAAATTCTGCATTACTAGAAAAGAAAACTTCTGGGGGTATTCTTGCTGCAGTTCTGGGGGTCGCATCAAAGCTCTGATAGAAGTTCTTACCTGGTTTCTCTGATTGACCACTACCCTACCCTACTCTATCTAACCCTCCCCTCCTCTTTCCTCCCCTCCCCTCTCCTACCTCACTACTGGAAGTGTGTTCTATGATATCTCTTTGAGCAGACTTGACATATCCTTATGTCAAGTCTGCTCTTGGGGCACTGGGCCTAAGACACTATTAAGGTTTATGTGTAGATGTATACCTAAAGCCTCATGCACTCAAAAGCACTGCTTTGGAAGGTAAGGGGATTATGGGAAATTATAGTTGACTATAAACCAGGAGATAGGATGGGGTCAGCTTGCATGGGCCCCTGGGAATGTGGCCTGGAGGAATTTGTCTCCTTCTTTGGCTCCTTCTTTCACTTCTGGGCAGCCACACCTTTCCTCTGTGATGCTGTGCAGCCTTGGAGTTACTGCACTTTGGGCTGAAACCTCTCAAGCTGTAAGTCAAAATAAATCTCTCTTCCTTGTAAGTTGTGGGTATTAGCTGCTTTGTCCTTGGAGTGAGGAAAATGACTAAGACAGGTAAGGACTGATCCAATTTGCATCTGAGAAACTAAAACCCTGAGAGGGAAGTCACCAGCACAGAGACACGCAGCTCACAAGTGCTAGGGAAGGACCTACTGTTGTAGCTCAAAAATCAGATGACAATGAGGCAAGTCCAAAAGTTAAAAGAAGCACTTTATTTTAGCTGGTACCCAGCGGCAACACCCGGCACAAAGTGCCTAAGTGCGCACAGAACATTGACAAGGATCAGTATTTAAGCTTGAAAACCACAAAAACAGGGATGAGGTGGAGAGGAATAGTCACAGGGATGAGGAATGGGAGGAACAGTTCATTGAGATAAGGTTGGGGAACAGATATAAGACTTGAGTCACAGGGGTGAGGAATTGGTAGGGGTTGGCGCATACAGAACAGGAACTCGGCGAGGTTAGAAGGGCAACAAAATGGGGTCAATTTTGACAGGGTATAACATTCCCCACTGGTTTTAAGGGGGTGAGTCAAATCATTGACTCACTAGCTTTGTGCTGTACTTTACAGCAGCTGACATGGTTTACTAAGATGGCGCATACAGAACAGAATGGCAGCGCTTTGGTCAGGTTATTAAATCAATTTAACATGGGTCATCATTGTAACATCAATTAACAATAGAGTGAGTAGGTGAGCTTTTAGAATTTTAGAACAAGCAGTATATTTTTTATGTCCCCACTGGTTTTAAGGGGGTGTGTCAAATCATTGACTCACTAGCTTTGTTTTGTACTGGGAATAAATTTTAGCCTTGGCTTTTAATTTTGTCTCCTTGAGGGCTCAGCCCTATCTGACTGTTTATGATATTTTTATCTAACTTGGATGTCTGTAACATTATTTTTCTGAAGAAGCAACCCGGACTGTTATGAGGGAGGATGGGCGATGAGAGCTCTGGATACTTTATGTTGGAATGGGGTGCAGTTGTTGACTGGCAGTCAGAGATATTTTTAGAGGTTTTACCTAAAGGTCCTCAATAGACACCAGGCAATTTTTATCTTGGGTAGGCAATTTTATATCACTGGGGGCACATGAATTGTCAGACATAGGGACAACATTGAGTACTGTCCAGTTTGTAAGTGGGGTCACTGACAAATTTGCATGAGCATCTATTAAAAGTTTAATGGCTTTTTAAAAAAATATATTGGCAGTTAACATGGGTTCCCTCAGACTGAGAGGGAAGACACATGACCACCTCAATCTGAAACTTTCTTTGACTCCATCATAAACATTTTTTTTTAGCAGCTGTTTACATTTACCTTCTTTTTTGTAGGCTACTAGTATCAACACTCTCATTTTTTATTTATAATTTCATTCTGTATCCTTTTTACTATGAAACACCTCAACTCAGACAAATTTATTTTTGTAAAACCTTTTAACTTTTGCAGCTTGTGTCAGATATCTGGGGTCCACTGCATAAGGTACAACTTCTTGGTTCCTGTAGGTTGTCTTGCCCAAGGAACATGAATATAGCTTTTCTCGTAATGAGGCAGGAAACCCAGAGAAGGCTCAGATCACCTGGGCTCTATCAGGTGGACAGTTATATTAAGCTTTAATACATGTTTCTATAGACAAAATCTGGTGGATCCCAGCAAAAGGAATCGTAATCTAGCATATTTGTTAACAGATTTTTCCTGCATGATTACCTGGGTTTTAGTATCTTCTAGGACAGAATAAATTTTTTGAGTGATTAGAACACATATAATCAAAGCATGAACATTCGAGCTAACAGGTACATTTATAAACCTTTTTGAAACCTAGCAATCATAATTTACTAGCTCTTAGACCCCTTTATTCATGGAGTCTGACAGTTTGTTATAAATCTCTCCAGCTATATTTATAATTATCTTTAAATTTCGAGAACATATGGAAAACCAGATAAATACCTTATTTTTACTGTCAATCCTTTTAAGTAATTTAAGTACAGTTTGGCATATTTGCCTAGTTACACTTGTGTTTATTAACAGCATGAAATACCTGAGTTACATCAGAAATCAACCAGGCTAACTTAATAAACTTATCACAAAATATACAGTATTCAGTCAGGTTAAACCAATGTCTCATTCAGTTTTGGATATGGCCCCTACTGTAATCAAGGGGCACTATAGAAGGATTTATCTTTTTAACATTGGCTCTGAATTTTATGTTCTAAAGACAAGGCCTGGCTCTATTTATAGGCCCAAAGCTATTTGACACTGTGTAGCCAGTGTCTCTAGAACTTTTTACGGTGACAGGATTTTATCTGTACATGAGCGATATATCTCAGTTACAGCTAAAGCAAGATGATGATGATTGGAAGGTCAGGGTTGGAGAAAGACGAAGAGACCTGTGCCAATATCCAGCAATGGGCTGGGATTTTCCCTGTAGTCGCGATTACTCAGGGCTCCTCCATGGAGATAACAGGTAGAGATGATAGTCTAGCCAGAGGGAGGAGGCAGGCCCAGGGCCTTTTAGTCCTGTTGGACCATCTGGGAAGCTGAGTCTGAGCTCTGGGGCCTCCGCCTCAGAGTGCAGTCTCACTTTTAGTGGCTGCCTTGGCAGTCAGGGCATGGCTTGTGGGCCTCTTAAGGCAGTCCCTCTTACGCTGGCCTGGCTTCTGACAGCAGTAGTAGGTGAAACTCATTGTCGCTGAGATCTTCTTGGAGCCCAGAGAATCAGACTTACAGTCTGTTTTGAAGCCACAATAAGGGCAGTCAATTTTGGTCTTTTTGCTTTTGCTCCCTGGTTTTCTCCCAGTTTTAATTATAGGACATTGTTTTTTAGGGTTCTGTAAAATATCAAGTGAGTTGTCTGGAGCAAAAGCTACTTTTTGTAGCTTTTTAATATCTGAAGCTGACTAAGTAATGAACTTATCTGTAAAATGAACTTTACATGTAAATCTGTCCTCTCACTGAATTAGCATCTTAAAAAGTATATTTTACCCAAACATTTTAAGAAATCAGAGGGGTGTTTATCTTTTTCTTGGTAAATAGCTGAAATTTAATAACTGAAGGTTTGGCCTTAGTTCTTAGACCTTTAAGAATACAAACTAGAAAATATTTTTATTAACCTCCTGTCTGACTATTTGACTAAGGGTCTGACTGTTTGGGCTCCAGTGGGAGCAGGTAGTTCTTGTTGCAGCTAAACCATGATAGACTCTTTTGGCTGCCCCAACATCAACAACATGACAACCCATTTAAAACAAATGACCTTGAAACAATTAAGAGAAGCCAATACCCATAGTGTTAATCTTAAGCTTATAAGTGAAACTTATTATTATTACAGTTGGTAAACATCTCATCTTTAGTTAACATGTAAAGCAGATGTAAGCTTTCAGTGGTCAGAAACCAGTTTTTACCAAGGAAACTTTGGGTTTGGTTGATACAACCAGAGATGTTTTAGCCAGACTTCAGTGGGGATTTACCAAAGAATGGCTGGAAAAAAACCTGTCTTTTGTTTTCAAGAGTGGTAGCTGTTTTAGAGTTTACTAGCTGGCAGAGTAAACATTGTTTATCCAAATTTTATAAGGAATATCTTAAAAGCCCGTACAAGATTATTTAAGCACTTTACAATAAAAGCCTTATGTTTTAGCTTATCTCTTATCCAATTAAATGATAAATGATAACTAAGGTCAAATTGTTTTTTTTTTACATTTAAATGTTTTGGTCCCATAAGTGTGCTGCTTTTGGAGATAGCTCCTTCTGGTGTCACCCAGAAGTTGGTTCTCTCCACTGTGTCTCAGGCTTAGACTTTTTTATTTTTGATGTTAACAAACACTCATTTTTTAAGGGCTTTACTTTAGCTGGAATAGTCAGAGTTCTTAATTTTTACATGCCTCTAAAAAGGAAAGTGTAAAGAGGTAGGAAAATTAGGAATAAGGTCAAAGCAAGGAAACTGAAACAGATCAGGCCCGACATTCCCTAACATGTAGAGGGGGATGAGAACCAGTCTATCCCAGTGAAACCTATCCTCCAAGTCTTTAAGAACGGTTGCCGACCTAATGTCATTTAACTGGCAAAAGGAGTCCCGTTTTTTTATATAGGCATGTAGGTTTTTTAAGTTCAGAAGTTTACATAAAATCCAATAGGAAGCTACCCTTTCTAGTGCTATTGTCTAAAATTGCACAAGGAATGCCAGTACATTTAACAACTTGTTTAGATGTAGCATAGACAAATATAAAATAGTCATAAAATGTCTCATTAAAGAAATATCATAACCTTATAACAATTTTAGCTTAAATTTACCAACACATTTTGATCAATATTTTAACAATTGTATAATGAATTTAGTACCGGCTGGCAGATGGAACAAGCAGGTTCTGAGAGTGATGATTGGGAGTCATAGCCACTTTTTATCAATTGGAGCTGCCAGTGCGACCAGGTGGAATTGGCCAGTTGTCTGGGAATGGTGTCCAGAACAGCAAACCTTGAGTCATTTCAGGGGGTCAGCAGTGGACGGTGGAGGATGTCAGCTCCAAGTCCTTCAGGGGGTCTAGGAGGGGGATGGAAGAATCCGGCGATGGATGCTGGTGGTTCTGGGTACGGCGTAGACTAGGAGGTGACAGTGTAGCCTGGGGCTGAGTGTGGATGACCTGGTTTGGGAGTTCAGGCTTGTCTGAAATGACCTGTTGAACAGACTGGGCCCCTGGTGGGCTAGAGACCGCTGATGAGATTGACCATTTTAATCCACAAAGAGTGCGAGAAGGAGGAGGAGAGAAGGAGGAGGAGGAGAAGGAGGAGGAGGAGAAGGAGAGGAAGAGAGGAAGATGGTCCCATGTTCATGGGACCAAACACGAGACAGGACCCAATAGAGACAATAAAAGCAAAAATGACAGTGGACAAGGAAATCTTTAAAAGTATTTGTCCCATGGTTGGGACAGACAACCACAGATAGATCAAACAACAGATTGATCCAATGAAAACAATGAACGTAAATGAAACAAAAAAAAACAATGGACAAGGAAACACACTTATGATGTGGCGGCTGCTTGAGAGTCTGGAAATCTGTCAATTTAAAAGGTTGCATTAAAAGAACAGACAAAACATAGACATACACAAATAGGCCAAACAGAGCCAAAGAAAGAAAAGCAAACTAGCTAGTACAGACAGACAACAGACAGACAACACAACTAGACTTACCCAGATGGTTCCAATTGGGCCCAAATAAATCCTGTATGAAAGTGTATGCCCCTAATTAGATTAAATCTACTGGGGGACTTGGTAAAGGTGGAAATAATTTACTTCACACAAGAGGCAGACTAGTCCAATGTGCCTAAATAAATCCTGTATGAAAGTAAAGTGTATGCCCCCTATGCAGGAGGACTTGGTAAGGGTAGGGGTATCAAGGAAATCTTTTATACAAGAGGAATTAGTCTGCATGAAATTAGAGAGAGAGAGGGTCGAGCTGATGTTGCTAGCCCCCTACAGTCAGAATCTGTAGGGGTAAGGGAGGCATAAATCTCAAAGAGAGAAAAAAGAAGAGGTCGCACACATGCGGCTAGCCCCCTACAGTTAGAATTTGTAGGGGTAGGAAGTAAGGGTAAAAGAACCTTACCATAAAGAGACCCCAGAGGTCACGGAAACCCCTACATATGACCGAAGTCCATAATCTCTAAAGGCAACCAATTGGCGAAAGGGACACCTAGGTCCGTTCGCCTCACTGAAAACAGGGCTCTGCAGCGAAAGGGACACCTAGGTCCGTTCGCCTCCCTACAATTGAGATCTCCCAAAATCTGACTTGGAGGGCATCCCACTCCAAGGACTCGGAGACCGGAGTCTGCGAGTCAACATCACAACCAATTTGAGTACTCACTATAAAACCATCAAAAAATCACCAAGAAACCATTAAGAAGCCATTAAGAAATCAAGAAAACAGAACAAAAGCAAAGAGGCAAAGTGAAAGGAGAGGTTGACACGGTGACCGTAGTTTTTTAAAATCTGTAAAGCTAAATCAAAACCAATTTAAGGAAGTAATTTACATTTGAGTTTAAGCTGGCATAAAAAAATTAGGTTGAATTTTACTTACCGCGTCAAAAAGAAGAGGCCTTTAGGGATCCCGGACAAGCCCCCAAATGTTGTAGCTCAAAAATCAGATGACAACGAGGCAAGTCTAAAAGTTAAAAGAAGCGCTTTATTTTAGCTGGTACCCGGCGGCAACACCTGGCACAAAGTGCCTAAGTGCACTGAGCATTGACAAGGATCAGTATTTAAGCTTGAAAACCACAAAAACAGGGAAGGGGTGGAGAGGAATAGTCACAGGGATGAGGAATTGGGAGGAACAGTTCATTGAGATAAGGTTTGGGGAACAGATGTAAGACTTGAGTCACAGGGGTGAGGAACTGGTAGGGGTCGGCACATACAGAACAGGAACTTGGCGAGGTTAGAAGGGCAACAAAATGGGGTCAATTTTGACAGGGTACAACACCTACAACCATGCCTGTTACAATCCTAAGTCCAGCCTTCCCTGCCCCATTCTGCTGTGTAAGGGTTTTCAACCAAGCGCAGTGGCATGAGCCCATTCCCCTGACTGCTCCCAGCATCTTCCTGCAGTCTGTTCTTTCCTTTCTAACCTTTCAGGACTGGAAGTCAGTCAGGCAGGTGGGGGCTGCCCCATTTACCTGCCTCAATCAAAAGTCTGGGCTTGCACAGTCAAATGCACAAAGACCTACTCAATGCCAGCCCCGGGGTTCCAGTTTCATTGCTGATCCTTGTAATTACCTCTCAGGGCCCCATTTCTCTTTTGTTTGGTCCATAACAAAGTTAAGCAGAAGGATCTAGGGACACCATTAAACAAGGCAGAATGTCAGAATCAATGGAAAAACTCTTCTCTCCTTTTATCCAAGGGCAGGGCAAGCAGAGGCCATACATGGTGCTGAAAGAGTGTTTTGTGTTCTCAAAGGGTCCCTGCAGCCTTGCCACCCAAGAGCCTGGGAATCATAGGGGGCTGTGTGGGCTCCTGTCACTCCAAAAGAGCTCTTGGCAGCAGGCACTGTGATGACCTGCTTATAATTGTTGATGCCACCCAAGTAGCCTTCACAACTGTCAACTCCTAAAAGCCACAAAACTAAGAGGGGATGCTGGGCTTGGGGTCTGGAACAAACACCCCCATTCTGAAAGCCTTTTCTAGCTTCATGTACTGGAACACACATGTAACACAGTGGACTTACTTTGCAGCTTAACTGCAGAATCAGATTCTTGTTTTTTCACTTTTTTGATTAGTGCATACTGGTTGCACAGAACAACCGATGTCATCGTAGCGGATTTGTACCTGCACCTAACATAGTTTCATCATTTTACACAACCTCCTCCTTGCCCCATTCCTATTTAATTCCATATTTTTTGAGGGAGGTGGAGTTAACTGGTTTCCCAGACAGGGGATGTAGTTTGTATTTTGAGTAGGTGTTGTGTTTTGGGTCAGGATGTTACTGGAACCAGGTTCTTGGGTCTGAAAATAGTAGAAAGGAGACCAGATGCTGGAGAATGCAGGCCTGGGCAAGGATTTTTGCTGGGATTTCTGCTTAAGGGCCAGTCAAGCTAGTGGCTCCCCCAACAAAACAATTAGCTAATCCAGAAAAGATTTTGGTCTAGAGTTCCCATCCAAGTCTCTATGCAAATAAGGATTTAAGTTCACAGAAGCTGATTGGACAGCATCAGGCCCTGTATGCACAGGGTGATACAGCTCTGCACGAGTGTTCTCAGGGGTCCTGACTGGGCCTTTGTGCTCAAGTCCGGTAGCTCCCACTGTAGGGTGAGGCAGGCTGTCAGGGGTTCATATTTGCCTCTTCTGTGTTCGAAGGGTGCATTATACATATTGTATTTTTAACTTCATGGCCTCATGTGGGTCCTGCTCCCCATGTATGTCCTTGGTTCAGCTGTGGAAGCAAAAACAATAGTCACAGTTCTCAGCATTTGATTTCTATCTGCTGCCTCTCTCCAGGGGAGTGAATAGCCATGACCCTCCTGACCTCTGCCCCGACAGATGAATCCAATTGTTCAGACAAGTTGGACACATATTTTGGTGGTGCACCTATAGTGGGGGCAGAAACAGAGGACCACTGGAACCCTGGTACCAACACAGGGCGGGAGGGGACTCACTTCCTGTTGATACAGAACACACTGGAAGGAAGTAGGAATTCCGCACCTGCCTTTGTCTTCATGCTAGCTTCCCTGCTGGGGAGCGGGACCTCTGGGAGTAGGAGACAGCTTTCATTCAGATCTCCAGTTTGCCCCTTGTGGTCTGAGTGGCCTCAGTCAGGAAGGCCCTTTAATGCCTCAGTGAGGAAGGCCCTTTAATGCCTCAGTCAGTTCTGACTCTCCCAGACTGAAGGAGAACATGTGGCCAGGTCACTTGGGACCGATCAGCAAGTTCTGCATGATTCTTTGGTGCTTTTGCAAAGGGCATGTGACTGCCTTTCTCTAGTGTTCCAGGCCAGGGGAGGCCCCAACTCATCACTGGGTGATAGGACGAGGCCTTGACAGATGCTCCTGAAAGTCACTTCAGTGCACCAGGCACCAGGGCTGTTTTCTATATAGACCACATGACTCCCTAGAACTTCTCCACTTATATTTTTGGTATATATTTTATTTAAGGTGCTAGATGTTGTTCCAGATCAGGTGTTAGTTTAGACTATACTGTCCCTCCCTGAGCCTATCCTTGAGATGTTTGTAGAAAGAGGGTCGATGCATCTTCTTCCTCAGGCAGTAACATAAAACCTGTCAGAGCCAGGGACAAGTAGAAGGCATGGCGTCCCAGCAGGGGATGACATCGCAGTAGCTTGAAGTATATTCAAGAGATAAGAGTAGAAGTGGTCCTCTCACCATAACTCTCTGGGGTCACTTTCGGGATTTGTGTCTTCCATCTCTTTAGGTTCTGCTGGACCTCAAGCCTTGACTGAGATATATGGTAAGAGTTCAACTAAAGTCAAGTTTTTGCCTGGATTATGTTGGCTTCTCATTCTTCTCTCCCTGCAGCTGGAAAAGGGAGTGAAATATCGGCAGGGGTGGTGGTGACTGATTTTCACAGGGTGGTGGTTGTTGCTCTGTGTAGAAACCGCAGAAGTACTGGGGCCTCTCTTGGGGCCTGCAAACCTGGAGATACCCATGAACGAGTGATCGCAGGCTTCCTTCCTAGGAGCCAGACCCTTAGGAATGAAGGAACATAAACCAGTAGAACTACCAGGGAGATGCTGGAAAAGTTAACACAGATGTCTGTCAGTCTTCTAGGGGCTGTCTAACATTACCACAAACTGGCTGGTTTAAACAACAGGAATTTATTGTTTCACAGCCCTGGAGGCTATAAGTCGAGTATCAAAGCACCGACAAAGTTGGTGTTTTCTGAGGGCTCATCAGTGGCCATCTTGTCTCTGAGTCTTTACATGATCTTTCTTCTCTTTCTGTCTGGGCCCAAATTTCCTTTCCTTTTCAAGGTACCACCATATTGGTTCTGGATTCGCCCTAATGACCTCATTTTATCTTAATTACCTCTTTAGAGATCCTGACCCAAATACAGTCACATTCTAAAGTACTGGGACTAGTCATAATGCTGCCTATAACAAAGAAATTGATAATGCATATAAATCATAGCCGGGGAGATGGCTCAGTGGCATCAGCTCCTGCCTACCAAGCACAAGGTCCTGAATTTGATCCCAGGTACCAAAAAAATGATGAATATGAATCATAATCTCAGGAATAACTATCTCAATAGAAGTGTAAAAAGGCCCTCAAGCCCCTCTGTGCTAAATTTGTTTGTTTATATTTGTTACTCTGTAATAAGCTTCTACCTGGGAGAACTAGTGCAGGAGAGGGTGGCCTTACTGCAGGGCATGACTGGAAGGCAGTGATTGCAGGGGGCACTGCTGCAGCTGCCCCCACTGTCCAGCCCCGTGTTCTGTGTTACCCTTTGTCCTCATGTCTACAGATGGCCGGGATGTGGACTTCACATGCTCAGCAGCATCTCTGAGGTCATGAATGGGGCCCAGTCCCTCTAGGGCACTTCCTTTACTGGTGCTGTGCTCGCTGGCCCGCTCCCTTCCCTGCCTCACCTGCTGGGGTTTCTCGGGATCAGGTCCTGCATAAGCCACTCGTGCTTACACACTTCTGCCATGGTGTGCTTCTAGCTTAAACAAAGTGCAGCTAAAGGCGAGATGGAAACCCCTTTGGTACTTGCTGCAGGCTAGAAGTCATGCCAAGGCTATCCACCTCCTCATCCCTTAACCCTGTGAGGTTGATTTTGCTTTTCCACTTTAACAGAGCAGGATGCTGAGGCTGAGAAGTCTGTCAGAGGACCCAGACACAGCCCACAAACAGGGCTGCTAGGATTTGCTTTGATCACAGGCAGGCCCTGGTGCCCAAGGGATAGGTTGCTGAACTCTCCAGAACAAAACTCCAGAGTAGAGTGGGAATCTAGAATCTAGGGTTTAAGTTTCAGACTTAGCAGTCACCTGGACAAGTTACTTGTGCTCTCTGGGCCTTAGCTTCCCCATCTGTGAAAATAAAGTTCAGGCATTTCACTCAGAAAGCCTCAGAGGCCTCAGAAGGCCTTTCTGGCTCTCAAAGTCTAGACAGAGACTCCATCAAAGCTGGCACTTTAAGCACTGTCTTCCTCAGGGCTTCCCTCAGCACAGCTAAGTTTCCAGTGTGACTTCTAGACAAGGTCTTGATGGCCATCGGAAGGTTAGCTCTCAACTATTTTCTTACTGTGTTTATGGGCTATCAGATATTTAAGGGTGGAGAAAGATTATCTCCTTTTGACAAGATAGACAGCATAATTCTCCAAATGTCATTTGGCTCTTTAGGAAAAACAAATTTTGTGGCTGCTCTAAAATGTCATGAAAGGAAGTCAGTCATTGGAATTCATAATGAAACTGTAATGTTTTCCCATATATTTCCCACAAATGCCAGCTAACTTTTTCTGTGCAGGAGTTTCTATAGATGTAATGAAGAGGGTGAGGCAGGTAAGGTGTGGGGTGGCAGAAGATTAGTGGTTGTTCGAGAGATGATACACAGATGGCAGCTGATGGTGGCTGATGGGGCTTTGGCGGATGCATGCTGAAGTTTCTTTCCACCAGGTGCCATGCTAGACATGAAGCATGCGAGCATTGGAAGGGTTGCTTCCATTTCTGAGGTGAGGAGATTTGGA